ACACATGGTAAACTACTTCCTCTAACACATTGCGACGTCAGAATCAATGTTTTGTGGATCCTTGATACCGGCAAACCGAGTGACGGCAAAACATCTGTCAGCGCTTCCTTCTAAACAGCTCAGACAGTTTTCAAAATTGACATTCCTCTATCGATTTAAATGAACCCGAGGTCCTCTGAGTTTGAAACAGATATTTAGAATTTCGAGGGTACTTTACACGAAGCGTCACAAAACAGTTTCAAAATTTCCTCCAAAATGCTCAATTTTTTTTTTTTTATTAAACTTTGTCCTCGAATAGCGTAAAGGATGCTTAGGAGAATGGAGCAGGTCTCGTCTACGCCCACCGACCGGAATGCAGGGGGAACAGGGGGAGGGGGGTCTTAGTGGAGCGGCGGTGGTGCGGCGGTTATCACGCCGCCGCTATCGCAGCGCGTTGAGTCACGGTGTCATGGGGCGCTGAGTCAAGCTCCGACCGCGCCAGCCGCGTCGCGCCGCACGGCACCACACCACCCCCTGAGCGGGCGCGTGGGGGAGGGATGGGAGGAGTGTGGGAGAAAGGATGGGGGAAGGGGTCGCAGAGGGGGTGAAGCGCCGGCGAAAAGGTGCGGCTAATGCAATCGTCAGCAAAACTCGCTCACAATTTCAGCTTAGGACGTTTGTAACATTAGGTCGTGTTCGTATGATTTAGTGGGAGCAAATCGTCGATAAGTTGATTATTAGAACCACTGACAATAATAAATCGTTTTCTACTTGTTCAAGTGACCAATTATGAATAATTCCTGGGGCCCAAGATTTACTTTCTTGTTATTTCCCCACCACGCATTTGGAGACACAAGTTAAACAATATTCAAACGACTATCATATTTGAAGGTATTAAACGTAAAAGATAATAACCCTCACCCCTGTAGTTTCTGAGACCCTATATTTTGGCCTCTGCCGCGTGTTGTCTATGAAGTGATATTCACAAAGTTTAAATTATGGCTTATAAAATAAGTCGATTATTATCATTTTAATGATACCCAATTCAACCCCCTTTAATACAAAATGTTTAATCATATCTCGAAAGCATTTCCGTACGGGGTTAACATGTTTTACATTCGATCTCTTTATTATTAACATCACTTCATCAGCTGCAACTGTGGTGATCGAGAACAGGCGGTCCGGAATGCCAATTCTGTTTATAAATTCCATAGGTTCCACATACTGAGTATCACGTAACTTTTCACGATGGAAATTCCCGATAAGAATCTACGACTTATTAGCATCATTCGCTTTGTGAACTTTATTTGAGAATAACCGAGAAAATATAACACTTTGCCTTTCTCAGAATTGTGACATCCTCATAACGAGGAAAATGTGCTGAGCCTCGCAAATTGCACGAAATTTTCCTTATCACTACAGGCGCTCTCAAGTTGCAGTTCGCATCAACAGCATTAGCCTCCTGCGTTACAATGAAAACTGGGCCCAGATTTCATAAAAAAGGGGCGGACCTACGAAGATCTACGGCCTTAGAATGATAGAATACTTTAATGATGAATATTTATACCATGAAAATCTGCTCAAAAATGTCATTTAAAGGTTGTCTCACCATGATCAGATCTCACCATGTCTTATTAAGTATTATTATTATTATTATTATTATTATTATTATTATTATTATTATTATTATTATTGTTATTATTATTATTATGATTATTATTAATTATAATATTAAGTTGGTCATTGAATCTAGAATTAATATAGTTGGATAACTCCCTGGGTTGAAATGTTCTGCAGGGAAGAAATATTAACTGTTACATTTCCCAATAAAAAATATAACAAAAAGAAACTTAAAAGGTATGTAATGCTATTTGGTAGGATTAATAAATAAAATCAATTTTTTATTGACATTATAAGTGAAAAATAACAAGATATATGCATGTATGAAAATAAATAATCGTTTAAAATTAGAATATAAAAGTTTCAAAATAAGTACACTTTAAAGAAAATGTAATAAATTAACACAATCCATGAAAGTACGTATGTGTAAAGAAAAAAATCTGTATCTTCTATTTTAGTTGAAATATATAATTATTAAGGAGAGCTAATACATAAATTGTGAAAGAAAAATATGTATCAATGCGTGAATTGAAGCCACAAGTGACCTTATTTCTATTTTCATGAGTTTGGTAAATTAACCCAACCGTCTGGTTGATATGACAAAGGAATCTTTTACATTACTGAACCCATTATTCAAGACGCAAAGATACTCTATCCGTAGAAAATGCGAATTCCTCCAAGATTCATTGGAAGATGTCACGAAACGGAAGTCAGAATTATTAATCCGGCAGAACAATCATGGGACGTGCGTATCAAAGATACGGCAGTAAAAACTCGCCACCAACGCAACAGGGCCGCATCACGTAAACGCCCACAGTTTCAACTCGCGCATCAAAACACGCATATTTCCGCACATACCTCACATGTGGATACGCACGCATATACCCAACGTAAAACCAAATAGATACATTGAACCAAAAGGATGCACGCGCGTTCGACCTGATGCCGACGAAATAAAAAGAAACGCCACCGAGCGATCATCACGCATACGAGTAGTCAGTCTCGACTGAAACAAAGCCGACGGCGATACATAACACCGGGACATTCGCGTGCACTAGGCCAGCCACTCACACGTCACAGCGATCAAGGAAATGGACTTATCCACGCCACGAAGCGGCCGGTGTTTGGCTATTTCCAAAGGCCGCGTGCACGTGAACTGCAAGTTTGTCTGCCGTTGAGCGAAGCGACGCTCGGTACGTCCTGCGTCCCGCCTGCGGCGTCAATTGGAGGTCGACATCGCTCTCGCACCATCTGATCAGATCGACTCCCCCTTATCGCGCGATTTACCTACGCGCCCGATCGGCGTGCTAGCCGCCACTGCCGCTCGTCGATCTGCCAATCGATACTGTCACTCGTGGCGCGCGCGGGGGGCGCGAGTTGGCGGAGGGCGCGAGTTGGCGGGTGCGCGGGCGGGCGAGAACGAACGGTCGCCGGCCATTATTGACGCGATGCATATTCATGGGCGTGACATCGTGTCTCAGGGCTTATTGAAAAATTTGCTGAATGTTCGCGGAGCTAAGGACTGCGTTGGCCTGCGTGCCGATGGCCCGTCTGTCGGCCCACGTGTCGTTCCGCGCGCCCCCGCCGAGCTGGGCGACATGTCCCACCCCCCTTCGCTTTTTACAGGTGTCATTCCGCGTGAAAACATCGCCGCTGCGGCGCGTGACAGAAAGAGGAACGGGGCGCGCCATTTTATAAATGGCCACCCGCGATCGTCAACGAGCAAATAAGAGAAAGTGAAATCGCTATTGGCGATCGCGGGCACCATATGAAGCTCCTCAACAGCGGGTTTGGACAGCATCCCAAGGGCTGGTATGTCTGGGTTAGTAAGTGCCAAACTCAATTTAACAAAAAAAAACTTGGTTTATCAACCGTCTTACATATTTAGCACGAGCTAGAGGTGCAATGATTTATATATATCAGTGTTTCCAAAGTGTATTAAATATTTCACTCTCATTACTTTAAATTTCTCGTAGAACATGACTGGTTGTTATGGTTACCGATTAAAACCAATTATCAAATATTTTTATACTGCCTAAGATTATCATTCCTTGAGAGCGAATCACATAATTCTGTACAAATTTAAACTGCAATAGTGTTCTATCTGGAAATTCAATTAACGAAAAGAGACATTTTTCTGTTTTCATTTCATACCACTCGCGTTTACTATAAATATAACGGAATGCGTGTGCACAGATAAGTAAGAGATACTTGACAGACGCATAAAAATATTGTTCTGATACCAGCTTTAACTAAGATACGATTCCACGTGGGAGAGTTTATAGGTTTGCGACTAAGTCACGAGACCTGCCACGTGAATGTATTTGATCAATTTAGGTCATTCGTGTATTTTTGTTTTTATACCGAACATTTTACAAACAACACTCTTATTTATAAACTACTATCTAATCACGGGAATTTTGGCAGACGTACGATATGTCTGCAACTTCGTTTCGTTATCTAGTAATATTACCGTCACAGTATTTTGATATGTTGCGATGAAGATCTGCGTACAAAATTGGTTTAGTGATAAAAGAGCAGTAATTCCTTCTTGTTTTCAAAATAAATTCATTATTTCGGCATTGAAATTTAGGACACATATTATTATTATTATTATTATTATTATTATTATTATTATTATTATTATTATTAGCAAATATTGGACGGTGATTTGAAAGAGGCGATAAATGTTAATTTGTCTAAATTTATTATCACGATTTAGGTGAAATTAGTGACGTGAACTCGCAAGAAAATTGAATGGTACTATTTTCTGGTGAGTCAAAACTTGATCTACATTCATTTTACTATTTTGTTAATTTTGGTTGCATGATTGCCATCAAAACTTGCAAGAGTATACTATGCTTCTTGCCTCAATGGTGGTCGTCGAGTGACAACATATTGTGCGACTGTTCTTACCAGGAATTATTCTCAACCGATTCTTTTGCACCTCCACATTTCTCTCCCAGTGACGTAAAGTATTAATTTGTATTTAACGAAAGAGACTACTAATTTTAGACAAACTTTTCAAAGTATCCAAAGGCCTAAAATTACGCCAAAATATTTTTTTAATTATAAAGCAGAAGTTTTCCAAGTGGTCGCTCGTCTTTTCAGTCACATTACTGGCACTATATCAATACTTTACAGACTATATCGGCGAATCACTAATTGAGCATTTTTCTGTCTGGATAGAATAAGCAATTAATTTAGTGCTATCGTTATTTAAAGTATATGTATTCACAAAGAACATTTTATGATATAATGAACACGCTGTATGCACGCTGTGATTTTATGGGCTCTGACAGACATATGTTAATAAAATATCTCTCGTTAATGGTAATGTAAATTTAATGTGAAATAGGGGGACATAATGCCAATGTAAATTCGCTAATTTTGTCATTTACTATTCTTTCTTCTTGTTGGGAATACGCTGTTGCATGTCGGCCATGAGACTTTTCTTTGGAAACCTCTGCAAAGAAACGAGACAAATATTTTCAAAATCGATGGCAAGATAAACTGGTTATAAGACCATAGGATTCAATTTTTTTATAAATTAATGAGAAACATTCCGCTTATTAAAAAAATAATATACGTATCGCTTGTAGTGAAGCGCGATAATTTATTTTTAATTTTTACATGAGTTTTTACAAATACGTGACGCATTCTCTCATATTTCAATAGTTTTAAGCAATACTGAAAAATTTTTGAAATATTTCCCGAAACAATCTGAATTGCATAAATTGCTTTTAAACGTAGAAGCGATGTTACCGCTCGCCTATTGACTTTTAACTTCTTCTGGATATTTCATTGGTGATCGACCTAAACCCTGCACACTAACATGCATGCGGAAAATTGGCTTTAATTGGGGTCCTCATTCGCTCAATTGTTAATTCACGAGGATTCACTTGTTCCTTAATATTATTTCATTTAACACTCTTTTCGATTACTTACTCCCTTGGTCCCCCCTCGGCTTTTCTTTTCAGAACTCCGCAGCGATGAGGAATATTATGAAAGAAAGTCATAATATTATCTAGAAAATACTATGGCCGTAGAATGAAGTCGACAGGAATTGGGCATGACAATCGTTCGATCGATTGTTCGATAGACGAAAGTAATCGAATGGATAGATAGTTCGCGGTGAGACTGGAGATGGGGGTGAGAGCAGGATGTGAGATGATATCGGAATAGGGATGGGGAGAGAGATGGAAATGAGAATGGGCAATGCGAAGGGTATAGGGATATGGTTGGGAATTACAATCGGGATGGGAAAGAATAGAAGTGAGAATGGGAATGGTGATCGGGTTGAGAATAGGGATGAAGATGGGGATGGAATGACGATAGCAACGAAAACGACGATAGCAACGAAAACGACGATAGCAACGAAAACGACGATAGCAACGAAATTGGAGTTGGAAATGGGAATGGAAGTGGAAGTGAGGATGGGAATGAGAATAGGTTTGAGCATGAGAATAGGTTTGAGCATGAGAATAGGTTTGAGCATGAGAATAGGGTAAGCATGAGAATAGGGTTAGGAAAGGGGATGGAGATGGAGATACTAAAACAGGGAGCGATCACCACCGCTCTTCCCTCGCTCGCATGCCCGCGGCCCCGCCTCCGCGTTTCAAGCGGCCCAATGCAATTTCATTTCGAACGAACGACGTCTCTTGACAGCGTTGCTTACCCTATCCATTTGGAGCGCAGCCGGCGCACCGGACATTGAGGAATGTGTGATGAAAGGTCGCAACGCGGAAGTCGCGTGCCTAGTGAGCATCGGGGGGGGGGGTATGAAAGAGGACGTTTCAACATAATAAAATTGAGTCATTAGGGGTAGTATGTACGCACACCAATGAAAGGTTAAAATACGAGTAAGGAAAGGGGGGAAACTAGAGTCGTGTTGCGCGCGCGCGTGCGTGTGTACGTGTGCGTGTGTATGATAGTTTAACCGCCAAGTGGATAAATATTGGCATTAAACATACAATATAATAACTTACGAGATATATTTTCAACTAGCTAGTACAACTCGCTTTGAAAATCAAATAAATGGTGAATAATGTGCTAGTTTGTTAGATATTAGAGGTTCTAAAATCATCTCAGAATTAATCGGGATGACAATCTTTTACTGAAAATATACAATTTCTGAACTATCGTTTTTAAAATGAATTACTAAAACTGATCAATGCAAAATTAGGTATCGATACTTGCAAATGCTCAACGGACGTTTCTATATTTCACGTCTACATCATGACAAAATTCTGTCTTAGAAATACTTATATTTTATAAAAGGAGAATTATATTTCCTAGTGATCTGGTCTTCATTACATTGCTCGTAGCTGTAGTGATTCTTATAGAAATCGATTGATATATCTGCCCAGTTCTATACTCCAGTGCATACACATAACTATTGACGGCAATAAATCAATGAGTTGGAGACGTAGCGCCGTGCGGAGCGGACGTGCGTGATGAACGATGAGCGATGAGCGACATGGGGCAAGATGAAGGAGCTATAAGAGACTGAGCTGCGGAGTAGGCTCGCTGGGAGCACACGGACGGGCTTAACGAGAAAACTTCGTTCTTCAAAAACAGTTCGGAGCTCGAATTTCTTACGGGTAAATAAAAGCATTCTTTTATAGTGTTAAACCAAAAATATACTTTTTATTCTAATTTGTTTCTTCGGATCTTACTATATACTAAACTTACACTTATACTAAAATATCTCGGAATGAAAGATCGAATATTAAGAAATTAATCCAAAATTCTTTACATTAGGTTTATCGCTATGCGCATTCTCCTTTGCCGGGTCTCGGAATATATTCCGAGGGTTGACCTTCTAGCATGTTAAAGTACCCTTTGGAAAGTCTAGAGTTCATCAACAAACACTTTTCAAGGAATCACTCTATTTCGAAATGCATTGAACGATTCACGATGAATGGTGCGCAATGAACAGTGGGCGTAAAAGCAGAGAGCAGGGAGCGACAAAACGTGACACCCTCCCGCTCATCACTTCCGAAGAGGGTTTGGGGGGGGGGAGGGTGGTCGGACGTGCGTGCTCAGACCGGCAGTATGTTCGCACATGCTCGCGCGCCGTTCCACCATCTGGGACCGTGTGTACTATTTGTCTTTCCAATAGCATTAAAACTCCGGGTGCTTATTTTCCATTTGAAACAGAAACAATTTTGCAATCAAAATAATCCGCGTGTAAGGACAGCTTAGGCGACAATAGCGCGCTCAGTGCGCCCGGATCGCTTTAATGAAGTGCAGGCAAGCGTGAGGGCGCGAGGGGTCCACCCCCCG